AGGTAATTCTCCAAAGAAACATAATCATCATTCCCTGAGTCATAATCAGTTCCCAAAGAGAAATTCTGCTTTTAATGACCTTTGTGCCATCAAAGTTTGTGTCATTAATAAAGTCATGCATTCTACTGCCCACTCTAATTAAAGGCAATGTTATGAAGGCTTTTTTTGCTGCATGTCCTCTCTAATATAATGTTGTTTCATATGATTTGATTTCCAGATCTTTATTTTTATTGCAACCTACTCAGGAATTTTAAGGCTACTCAATTCATTTTTTTTTAACTGAAGACATTCTGAAATTCCAGATTCCTTGGAAGGACGATGACAAACTACTTGTAGCTTGGAGAGAAGGTCGGACAGGATATCCCTGGATCGATGCCATTATGATACAGGTTTGATCAACCCTTTGATGAGGCAAAATTTGCAATATGTTTAACCAAGCTATATATTTACTTCCGTATAACAGAAATTCTGAAGCTTTTGCATCTTCTAATAGCTTAAGAAATGGGGATGGATGCACCATCTGGCACGGCATTCAGTTGCATGCTTCCTGACACGTGGTGATCTGGTATGAGTGTAAATTTTAAATTACTTAGTTAATTATTAAGTTTGTTGCTTGTCATTATCTTGAAATTAACATTTGAACTTGGGATCTTCTCTTTCCTTACTGAAAAATGATGATTGAAACATTGGATGTTGTAGCTTATAGTTTTAGCGTTGCTTATTGTATTTTGTTGATGGAAGAAAAAAGATAAATAACAGAATCTCTTTAAGGTTCTTTTTTTTTAAAGGGAAAGGTAGGTGAAGATCCAATCAAATCCCTCCCTGGTTTTGTAACACAGATCAGAAAGAATTTTAAAGCTTTACATAAAGTTATTGCTTCTGCCAAATTTCTGTTATGAAGTCAACCTTGGAAAAACTTCGTTGGATTCAATCTTTGAACAGTATGATATAAATGAATGGTAATATATGGGAGGCTGCTTTCTGAAAACTACCAGGATAGAATACCCAATTTATTTTACTCCTGTATCTTGTCGATAGGCAGTAGTTATAGTTTTTGTGCATAATTAGAGTGTTGGGATAGCTTCTTAGGATTTTCCTCTTTTTGTTTGATGATGAAATATTTGACCGACATGCAGTTTATCCACTGGGAAAAAGGGCGTGATGTCTTTGAGAGACTACTGATCGATTCTGATTGGGCCATTAATAATGGTAATTGGTTATGGCTTTCTTGTTCAGCCTTTTTTTACCAGGTAGGCAGCATACCATCCTTAAAGCTCATGAAAACTGAATGATTCCACCTTATCTGCCATAAACAGTTTCATTTTGGAAATCTTCCTGATTATTTTGCCATCTTGCTTATTGTCAGTATCACCGCATCTATTCTCCAATATCTTTTGGACGGAAGTATGATCCTGATGGGAAATATATTCGGCACTTTCTCCCGGTGCTAAAAGGTACTTATTTTTGTTTCAACACCAATTTAATTTTTATGATGATAATTCACCTGGTTTGTCACAGATATGCCGAATGAGTACATCTATGAACCTTGGACAGCTCCACTTAGCATCCAAAAGAAAGCAAACTGCATAATTGGAAAAGATTATCCGAGACCAGGTCAGTCTGCATATGTTGCATCACTCTTTCTTCAATGTTATTATGGAAACAATTGTAGGCCATATTTCAGCATAAGCTTAGGAACAGTGACAATGTTTGCTGGTCAACCGGCTACTTGTTTTTATATGTTTTCTTAATGAGGAAAATATGTTTAGTCGCACATCAAAATAGGATAAGATCTAGACTGACTTATAGGCTTAAATATTTCAGGTCATTGGATCGAATTTAATGAAATTAATGAATTAATTATCCATTAGATCAAATCATGATGATTGGTATAGCCCTATTTAAGTATATCAGATGGCATATGCTAGCTTAACAATATTTTTTTATTAAACAGTCTTGCATTTTTAAGTTTGACGCACAGAAATCTACCCAAGTAACAAATTTCTTTATGGGTAACCATTATGTTCCACAGAATAATTTGGTCAAACTTTGACTTGATATTCCATGCGTAAGAGTTGTTAAAAAGTAAATAGTGAATGCAAACTTATAATTTTCATGCATCCATGCCCCTGAATGGTCATTCGACGACAGTTTTATTGGCTATACGATCCACTTTCTTTTTCTTTTGTTGGGAGCTAGCTGCAGATGAACCATTGCTAGCGTAATAGAAAAATGAAATTGCATAGTACACTACTTGAGCAACCATTTGTATGTATAGTTATCCTTGATATCACTAGCATTCTTTCTTTCGATAACTTTGCAGTGGTCGTCCATGACAAAGCGAACAAAGAATGCAGAAAAAAGATGGGAGAAGCGTATGGAAAGGTCGGTTCTGTGGAAGAGGAAGACAATGTAGCAGCTTCTGAATCCACAGCTAAGCAGAAACGGAAAAGGCGGACCTAAGGAATGCAGCTCATAGGTTGCGTAACATTTTCTGTGCAAAAACCATGTTAACAAAAAAGAGTAGTAAAAGTAAAGTAAGAAACAAACTGTCTTTTGGTCGTCGAAGTTTATGACGCGGAATGGGCCTACAATACATAAAATATGAAAGTCTTTTATGGTTAATTTGCTAGCAATCGTCAGATTTGCCCAACTCAGGTAATAGCATATAATAACGTTTATAAGTTACGCATTTTAAGCTCCTAAGCAATTATAGAGAGACCAAAGGCTGAGGATGTCAAAAATATAGAATATTATTTAATTAGATAAGATATATTATTTAATTAAATATAATTAATTATATTTATAGTATATCTTATCTAATTAAATAAGTTTATATAATCTACCATAACATTTCGAAGAATGTGACACCCATACCCCCAAGAGTGGGTTTATGGGGAGGCTCATTACCCTCTATGCAAATCTGAGTTAAGAATTTAAAATATTATTTATTTTAATAATAATATTTATAATAATTTTGATAATTAAATTGATGATGCACTAGTGGTCCAATAGTATATGCCTTGTCACACCCATATAGATTCTTTCAAATTTTTACATTTTTATTAGTGATATGGGACAGTTGATAGCCACCTCGGAACCAATGTGATATCTCTGAATCAACGTAACGTAAGCATTTAAGAGTAATGCAATCGATCACATCTCAAAATGACACAAAACTCAAAAACAATAGTAATCACGCAAAATAGTCTTGCACAACATGGAATTGGAATAGTCGACCCATGCCATCCAGAGCAAAAGAATCGATTGTCTAGAATATCGGTGATCATTAACAACCCGCACGACTAACTTTTAATGAGAGGAATAAAATTCACCCACCACCTCATGCGTAAGGGGGGGGGGGGGGGGTGGAGGGGGGGGCTTGACACTCACTCCATTATACAACTTATGCCCCCTCCTTGAAGGGGTCGAGCCGAGAATCCCTCGATGCTGACCTGTCGTACAGGACCATCGGTGCCCAGGAGATGATCCCGCTACCGGAAGGCAACTCAATGACCAAGAAAGAACCATGTTAGCCAAGAAGATCTCAATCCCTCTACCTAACTTCTTCGCTCCCAAGCCAAAGCATCCCTCGTAGACGGTTTTTCACGTGGATCTTTTACGTCGGTTCATTACGTCAACAGCCCTACGTCAACATAGAGGAGACACGGTGATAGACCTACACCAACCAAACCGACTCACCAATTGAATTGATGGTATTCGTGCCATCATCAATTGCGAACTAAACTTATGCTTGCCAGTATTGTTTGATTCAGTGTTGATCTTAAGTTTGATTCCTGGCTGGTGCATATATTTTTTCTTTAATCTACTCGTTCGTTTACTTATGCTTGTCACTGCGGTTTAGTTTTGTGTCGATCCTAAGTTCCTTATTTTTGGCCCCATCATGATGATCATCTTCGGAGTGGACCCGTTTGATGATGATCGAGATTGAGATCGCTAGGGAGTCCCCGTCGAGAGTTTTTGGAAGAAATACGTTTTTTCATCGACACATCGAGCCTTGGATGTGGTCAATGTTGTTTTCGGGGATGTGCACCGGAGGAGGAAGTCCGAGGTGGATCTATGTACTTGAATACATAACGTATCAAATTGCTTTTGGTGTGATGCAAAACTAGCTTTTGGTTGTTTAACCTCTATCCAGACAGGATAATTATTCCCTCGTCAATGAATTCAGCATTGTTTTACTTATAACTTATTTCCATAGGATCTGATGATGGCAAGCCAAGCCTGTGAACTGCAGCTTAAGGGTAGTAGCTAAATATTAGGCTTGTATATCCGTGGTTTTGGATTCTGGAACTCAATTGTCATTGAAAAGTAGGCAAAAGTAGTCTTCATGATCTTCTCAGGGCACCACCGTGTATATCTTGACCAAACTTATACGATGAAAAAAGACTTCCAATGACGCTAACTTCGTGATTACTCCTCCCAATAACACCATCATGGTTTGGACCATATCCGTCCCCTACTTCCGACGTCTCTCATGGTGTGAAACCGGAATCATTTCACCGGTACCGTCCGTCTAAAAGGTCTGAAATATTTCTCCTCTGGTGCGTGACGAATGGTTTTGTTATCAGTAGAATCATTGACCTGCGTTGAAGTCGTTGTTTCTTGATCAACACAGCTAGGTGCAGTATCTTCATTCACACCTGTCCAGACAAACTCCCGTCCCATCCCATGGTCTCCCACGACCACCGCCAAGTGCGTGATGAATGCTCCTTTGACATCACCTCACCGCAGTGGTAGCATCACGGTGTGAGTGCAACGACGTTCAACGCAATCCTTGACTAACTACGTGCGTGTCTTACGGTCCATGTAGCGGTAGGATGACTGCACCGGAGGGATGAATCCAAGGCACGGAGTTATTGCCGACCAGAGAAAAGTTACCTTGGAAACGACTTTAAAGCCAGCTCTCTCTGGGATGTGTGTATATATATATAGAGAGAGAGAGAGAGAGTGTGTGTGTGTGTGTGTTTGAGCGAGCGGAGGAGACTGTCATATAGTCGATCGTTTCTGAGCCTCCGTGCATGTCAAGCATGAGGAAGACCATATTTGCATGCGCCCTTTGGCCATCCTTTTTTATTGTCGTACGAGTGCTTCTTCTCCTCTCGTGTCCTGTGAAGTCGGTAGCTTCCCGATCGGAGACACCACCCACCCAATTCGCCACCGACCGCGCGGCGCTCCTCTCCTTCAAGTCCTTCATACGTGACGATCCCCTGGGGGCGCTGTCCTCCTGGAACAATGCATCCTTGCATTTCTGCCAATGGCGGGGTGTGAGGTGCCGCCTCCGCAACCATCAACCGCGGGTCACAGCTCTGCGGTTGGGGTCTCTCGGCTTGGCGGGTTCCATATCTCCCTCCCTATCCAATCTTACCTTCCTCCAGAGGCTCCACCTCCCTGAGAACCGTCTTCGGGGTGTCATTCCGCAAGAGCTGGGCTTGCTGTCCCGTCTTCGACATCTCAACCTGAGCTACAATCCTCTCGCCGGAGGCAAGATTCTGGTGAATCTGGTTCGCAACTGTTCTCGTCTTCGATACCTCAGCCTGAACGGCAACAACTTGCACGGGGCAATCCCACGCAGCATCGGCCGATGCTCGCAACTCCAACTTATCGGTTTGACGGATAATATGCTGGAGGGGGGAATCCCAAGTCAGCTGGGATCCCTTTCCAAGCTCAAGGTGCTTTCGCTTTGGAACAACAGCCTCGGTGGACGCATTCCTCCGGCTATTGGGAATCTTGCCGAGTTGATCCAGCTCAATTTACAACACAATCAACTCACCGCCTCTGTTCCTGCCGCCATCGGGAACCTCACGTCCCTGACACATGTTGATTTGTCCTATAATTATCTTGCAGGCGGCATTCCATCGGAGCTTATGAATCTTACGACCCTGACCACTCTGTATCTGGATGACAACCAACTCACTGGGGCGATTCCTGCTGCAGTCGGGAATCTCTCCTCCCTCGCTCTGCTTGATCTCTCGAATAATCAACTCACAGGAGGCATCCCATCCGAGATTGGAAATCTTGTCCCCCTGACTCTTCTTTATTTGTCTGGCAACCAGCTCGCTGGAACCATCCCATCCGAGATCGGCAACCTTGGGAGGCTGAGGAATCTTGATTTCTCTAGCAACCTCCTGGTGGGAACCATTCCTTCGAGTTTGGGATCCGTAAAAGATTTATACATCTTGAGTTTCTACGACAACCAGCTAGAAGCAGGGAATGATGTGGAATGGGGCTTTTTGGATGCGCTATCCAACTGCACCAAGCTTAGAGCACTGGATCTATCGAGGAACTATCTCGGCGGCATTTTACCGAGATCGATAGCCAATTTGTCTACGACCCTGGAACGGCTGTCCATGATCACAAACGACATAGCTGGGAGCATTCCCGCTGAGATCGTCAACCTTGCTAAGTTGAGCGAGGTATGGCTGTCCTCTAACCTCCTCGGCGGTCCGATTCCTGCAACACTTGGAAGCCTCCCGAGTCTACAACTAATAGCTCTGGAAGATAACAAGTTAACGGGAGAAATCCCGGCGACCCTTGGCAACCTAACCGGATTGTCTACACTTCTTGTGTCCTCCAATGAACTGCACGGACCGATACCTCTTACTCTCGCACGCTGCCCACTGGATACATTGGACCTTTCTTTCAACAAGTTAAGCGGCACATTGCCCAAAGAAATCCTATCCATCTCCACTCTCACCGTGTTCCTCAACGTTTCCAGCAATTCACTGACAGGATCCCTGCCTCCGCAGGTGGGAAACCTGAAGAATGTTCGAGCTTTGGATGTTTCCAAGAACAAATTGTCGGGCGAAATTCCTGGCAGTATCGGCGGATGTGAGGTGTTGCAGTATCTCCATATGGAAGAGAACCTTTTCGACGGACCCCTTCCTCCATCGTTTAGCGGGTTGAAGGGACTTCAAGAATTGGATGTTTCACGGAACAACCTGTCCGGGAGCATTCCCAGCTTTTTTGGGAGATTCCCATTCTTGAGGCTTCTCAACATCTCCTTCAATAATTTTGAGGGCGAAATACCACCAGATGGGATCTTCCGGAACGCGAGAGCCTTCTCGTTTGCTGGAAACAATAAGCTTTGTGGGGGCGTCCGGAATCTGAAATTGCCTCCGTGTTCCTTCCACAGATCCTCCACGAAGAAGAAGCATACATCTCCAAAGCTGATCGCCATCATCTCGGCTGCCGCTGGAACCGTGTGCCTGGTCCTGCTTTTCTCTTCGTTCTGCGCTCTTCGTTGGATACTAAAGTCAAAGCGGGAAACTCGCACCATGACAAGCATCGGAGATCGATATAAGAAGGTCTCCTACGCCGAGTTGCTGAGAGCAACTGATGGTTTCTCCACCGCAAATCTGATCGGTGCGGGAGGCTATGGTTCAGTGTACAAAGGATTTATGAACGGCGTCGTCGACGTGTACGACGTCGTTGCAGTAAAAGTCTTCAACCTGCAGCAGAGAGGGTCTTCGAGGAGTTTCATTGCCGAGTGCGACGCGCTGAGGAACATACGCCATCGAAATCTTGTCAAGATCTTGACAGCTTGCGCAAGCATCGATTTCAGAGGCAACGATTTCAAAGCACTCGTCTACCAGTTCTTGCCGAATGGGAATCTAGACCAGTGGCTTCATCCGGACGCACAAGGGCCAACTCGGAGGACGCTGAGCCTCACCCAGAGGCTGAACATTCTGATGGACGTGTCCTGCGCATTAGACTATCTGCATCACCAGGGTCCAGATCCAATTGTACACTGTGATATAAAGCCCAGAAACATTCTGCTGGACAATGACATGGTGGCTCATGTGGGCGACTTCGGCCTGGCAAGGATCCTCAACAGAGTTCCCATCACCGAAGCTCAAAGATCATCTAGCTCTATGATACTGAAGGGAACCATCGGATACGTCGCTCCAGGTACACACTCATCTTCTATCGTCTCCACCTTAATTATTTCTCGTTTACCATTGCTTTGACCGATAAAGATGTAAGTTTGGGAAAGCCTGGCCATGGTTTGAGTTCAATCCAGTTACGAACTCATGGCCGATGTGGTGGCATTCATTCGGACATCTCTTTTTGGTTATAGTTTTGCGGAATACATACTCTAACCATGATGATGCAGAGTATGGAGTGGCCAATAAAGCTTCTACCGAAGGGGATGTCTACAGCTACGGAATAGTCGTGCTAGAGATGTTCACGGGAAAGAAACCTACGGATGTGACTGCCCAGAACGGTCTCAGTCTACCTCGATACGTGGAGATGACGCTCCCAGAGCGTGTCGCCGATATCATGGATGCCAACTTGCAGTTGATAATGGAGGAAGGAGATGAAGAAGAAGCACATCAAGACATGGAGCGTATGAAAGCAGATGCAGTGGAGTGCATAATCTCCATCCTTAGGATTGGCATCGAGTGCACCAAAGAATCGCCACCGGAGCGAATGCAGATGAAAGATGTGATCAGTGAATTAGTTGCGATCAGGAGCACGTTGTTCAGGCATAAGGTGCAAGGTGGGAGAAGAGTCGCAATCTAACTCGGAAATGATGCTCCTCCATCGACTACGACAGCGAAGTAAACTATCAAAGTCGAGCACGAAAGTTGCAGGTCTGCCCAAATTTCCTGATGGTTAAGTAACGTAGGATCGGCGTAAAGATTCTGAATAATCAATCGTACATCACCGGAGGCGTCAAAGTTTGCTACTAGCTAGTTTTGTGCTTTACTATTTGGCTTTCGTCTTGCTAGTTGCTGAGATTGTTTCTTTTTCTGAATTTGACTCTTGTTTGTGTTGCCAAGAACCGAAAAAATGTTAGAGCAATGGAGTCGTCTGAGTCCTGATCAAAAGCTTATGCGAATACTCTTGCATATGAGTTCGGATCATGTCGAGACGAAAAGACGCCATGCGTCAACCTAATTCCTCTTCACCATGGCGTTTTCTCAACCTTCACAGTGGTAACTCCGACACAAAGCTGTTAAGGAAATTAAATGTCACCGGTGGCAGCGCGTTCCGGGCGCCTTCCTCTTCACGATCACAGGATTTAAGGAAATTAAATGGATGTTTGCAGCTCCTTTTCTAGATCGAGAGAAGGAAAGCTGCCAAAACTCATGAAGATTGCTGAATCTTATGATTGACTTGGCTTGATTCGAGCATCTGCTAGTCTTTAACAAATGTATATACATCGGATTCGTTCTCATATCTAAGATATAGGGTAATAGGTTACGATACGTACACCATTACACCTACCGGCGAAGCGGCCGGCGCACCTACATGTCCGGAGATCCCGTCTCATGCGTCGAGCACGCAACTTGTTTACGAAACTCTCCTCTCCTCTCCTCTTCTCGTGCCACGTCCTACAATTCTGCGCTTCACCATATTGCTTTTCCACGTTATGATATAATGGGTCTCCTCTCGCCCACCGACGAGTTTGGGGCTGGGGATCCCTATCAGGACGGCGCAGGAAACAGGGATCCCCAGTACTTATTGACGTCACGGATCTATTCACTGACCCCACCGTGGTAGTAACGTGATGTGAGACGTCGAATCCCTGTGTCCGTCGAGACAGACGAGCCTCGCCCCTCCAGCATATATCGTCCCACAGATCTCCTCCTCTGCTGCGAGAGACGAAGCGATGGAGGAGACGGCGGACAGCCGAAAGCGGAAGGAGCATGACGACGACGGAGGAGAGGTGGTGAACGCTGTCAAAACGATCCCCGCCGCGATCTTCGACGCTGAGCAGGAAGTGGAGATGGGGGAGGCAGCGGTGGCGGAAGTGATGAAATGGCTGGAGGAGGAGGTACGCTCCGCCGCCGTCTCTCATCCCCCTTCCTCGCCGTCCTGCTGCCAGGAGACCTCCTTCGTCACCATCAACGGCAACGAGGAGAGCTGTGGGCCATCGTTCTCCAGCTCCGCGTGCACCGTTATGGCCAGCATCGACACCATCGGCGGCGTTTGCGGCGTGCCCTACTTCATGGGGTGCCCCTCCGACCACGGCGCGTGGCCGTCCGCCTTGCCGTCGATCGGGAAGCTGAGGGACCGATCGGATGATGCGCCGGTGGCGGGGGAGGCGGGTGGGTGCGGCGGCGCCGCCGAGGATGAGGATGAGGTGGATTGGGAAGCAGTGCACGTGTGTGTGGCGTCCAATATGGTGACATGTACGAACGAACGGTTTCCAGTGTAAAAAGCAACGACGACTCGAAGACGGTTAGTTTGATTAGATTACTCCGTAAAAGATGATGAAATTTTGGAGTAATTATATATTATCTTTTAGCTAATTATAATTAATATTTTGATTCTTATATTTTAAAAAATAATATTCAGATTCCCGTAAAACATTGAACTTGAATGAAAAGGATAAAAAAATAATTTCACTATCTATTAATTTCATATAAACTTCTTTATACAACGTGGAGGTTTTCATATGCATTCCTCCCCACTTTAGTGGGCGAAGAATGTTTTACTCCTTGTGTTGGTGGGTGCAGGAGAAAGCTGGTTCGGTACTGCCATCGCATCGCATCGCGTGTGGGATTTTCTAGGGTTTGTGATACTTTCGTTTAAGCTTTCGGTGAGTATAATTGACTTTCTACTTCTGTCTTCTATGCATTTTCCATCGTATAGGTTTCTTGGTGATAAGACATATTCTGGTAATATCCTCATAGTAACATTCAGCATCAACGTAGAGCCTCAAAGTTGACATGGTATATTGCTCGACGCAACACCTCGGACTCGAACAGGACGATCTCCTGCTTCTGCACTTCCCGAGGTCGTACAAGATGACGTCGCATAGTACAAAGCCACTCCGAAAAGCTTGGAACGATGTCGTCTGCTCTCGCGTTGCTCGAGGCTATACAAGATGCCACTGCATAGTACAGAGCCATGCTAGAAAACTCGGAATAGCATCGCCTACTCCCGCACTACCCCAAGGCTATGCAAGATGGAGCCGCATAGTGTAGAGCCATTCTAGGAAGTTCGAAACGGTACCATGTGGCGTAGAACCGTGTAGAAGGTATGAGTCGATCGCCCGAGAAGTTAGCGGTCATTAACAGACCATGTACGATCGACCTTCGTTCGCGGATATAAAATTAGCCTCCTGACCAACGTCAAAGATCGGACTTCGAAAACTCAAACTCTCTTTAACACCCACCACCCAATACTAACTTAAGCTTTAGAGGGGTTGAATCGAAAAATCCTTCTCTCGACTTTGACTTGTGTGCAAAAACTCAACGAGAAAGGAACAACAATCCAACGAGAAAGGAAGAACAACTCGATGCTCTACCTCGGATCGACTCTAGAGGCAAAATATAGACCCGACCTGATGTCGACCACCCCCGCCCAAGCAACCACACAGGTGATCTTGTGCTTTCGGGATCGAATCAAGCCATGCTGATCCATCGACCACGGCATAAGGTTGCTAGTAAAATCCAAGAGTATTCTTTTTTTTATATATATAGTGCATTTGCCTAAGCAATTCGTTCAACTTCAGGATGATGGTTAACCTATCCATTTTATTTTACTGTATGATGTTGATGGATCTCAATACCTTTTCGGTGAGACCAACAACAATTTTCAGCATCACACAATTCCATTTTGTTGCAGTCTGCAAGCCTGGAGATAGTTTTATGTAGTATGATTGCTTCATTACTTACTGTGGTTGCAAGGAAATAATCGCAAGAACATATGCTAATATCCGAAGAACAACAGCTTACAGCCATCATCATAATGTCATCCGCTAGTCAAAACGCTCGATTCAAATGAGTCTATTATATTAGCTGCACCAATTTCAAGTACTTGGAAATCTACTGCTCCTTCGTCGGGACGAAAAGGGGCAAATTAATTATCCCCTAGTTCCTGTCTCTGTTATATTGTAACTCTCGGGGCTTTTACGCCGTCGGATGCGTGATCCGTTTCAAACGTATGGCGAGAGATTAGTTTTGGAAGCATACAGATCTCTACAATTTTTGGAATTTGTATATCAACTATAACATTTTGCATATTGATCCCAATCTCAGCTTAAAACAGCAAGCTTCCCCACTGGCTAATAGCTCGCTCGTGGGCCCCGTTAGGAACCAATTCGAAGACTTGATTCCTGTGTTCGATGTCTCGACAGAGACACGGGAGTGAGTGGCCCGCCCCTGTTTACATCCGCCGCAGCCGTATGCTTTCCATGTGATACGAGAAGTTTGTTCACGCGAGCGATCCTGCGCGCGATGGCGAGATCCTCCGTCTTGCTCTATCTGGGCGTGGTGCTCTTCATCGTCCTGCTCCTCACCTTCGCCCCGAACCGCCCTAATCACCCCCACCGCCGTCTCAGACTCCGCTCCGCCATGTCCGGCCACGACCGTCGCAGCATTCCCTTCGACCCTATCATCGCCGACATAGAGCGCCGCCGCGAGGACCGCGAGTGGGAGCGGGCCAACTTCTTCCCCCAGGGCCACGCCCCCGCCATGGAGGCCCAGCCCGAGTGGGAGGACTTCATGGACGCCGAGGACTTCATCAACGACGAGGAGCGCTTCAACGTTACCGACCGCATCGTAAAGCTTTTTCCCAAGATCGACGTTGGCCCCGCCGACGGCTTCGTCAGCTCCGATGAGCTTACGGAGTGGAATCTCAGGCAGGTGGAGAAGGAGGTGATGCACCGGACGCAGCGGGACATGGAGCTCCATGACAGGAACCACGACGGCTTCATCTCGTTCGAGGAGTACGAGCCGCCCAGCTGGGTTCATCGATACCATGGTCGGTCTAGATCCCTGCTTTGCGACAACTCTATTCTTTTTCTTTTGCCTGGACGTGAATTTTGGTTCCTGATTTACAGAAATTCTAGGCATTTTCTCTTTTCCGTCCTCTTGGGTGAAAGATTTGTTGTTTGCTGTACTTCTTCATTGTCAAGATTGAGTTTTCCCTTTCTCCAGAATACCCTTTATATCATTAAGGGGGACTTTATATTTCAGCAAAAGATGCGATGTTTTACCCATCTGATGTTTGAACTTTTCGTTTGATATGGGAATCTGTTTTGCATTATTTGCATTGTTGCTGTGGATTTTCGGACCTGTTTAATTTGAGATGTTTATTTTCTCCTTATGTCTCGAATTCTGGATGAGAAACCGCATAGAAGTATAAAAAAAATGATATCTTGAGGTTTGGATTCAGCGGAATCTATTTATGCACAATCTTAATCTAGGACATCGGCGAGTGTTTGGATCACAAAGATTGGAGTCCAATATGAGTGAATAAGTATATTGCAAAAGCTTAATGCATTTAAGTTTGGTAATAATAAACCCTCCCCGCTTCGAGAGAGAGAAAATAATAATAATAAAAGCAGATATGACGAACTTATGTGTTTTTTGTCTTATGATACTGGTTTGAAGTTAAAGGGCTAAAGCATCAAGTAGATATTTTTTTTTTTTCTTTTTTACATTGGGATTTGGATATCAAAAAAGAAATGTTATCCAAAGTTGTCAGTCGTCTTTAAAGAATCATTTTCTTCAACTGGTAGGTCGTCTGTCCATCTCCAGTGCAATGCCCCTGTTTGTCCTATAAATATTTCCTCAAGATTAACAACAAAAGTAAATTTAAAGTTAGTTCAAACATGTACTAGAACACAAATTTATCAACTACTTATCCATTTTGAAGGCTATTAATCGCTACTGTTTGGCACAAATATACATAATCTTTTGTCAATTCAGTCATCAAGTTTCGACATTATGCATTTAATTGTTATACACATGGAAGCTTGGTAGTGCATATAGATAGAGATATGGAACTTGAAGTTTGAACCTGAGATAAATATATTTTCTGATCTTTCTGTCTCTAATATATTGGCAGATGATAATTCAACTGGTGATCAAGTGGGGTGGTGGAAAGAGGATCACTTTAACGCTTCAGATATGGATGGCGATGGTCTTCTTAATCTGACAGAGTTCAATGAGTATGTTCTTTGTTCACATTCCCATCTGGATTTACATGGTACTGCTCTTTATTTATTGGGTTTCTTTATTTTATGGATGCAGCTTTCTTCATCCAGCAAACACTAACAGTCCCAAACTGATCCAGTGGTTGTCCAAGGAAGAAATTAGGTACTGCTATCTCTGCTTTGCCAAACATGTCTATAGTTTGTATGCGTCAATGCTTCATTAAAAGATTAGTCATATTTGTAGTATAACATACTTTTAGGATGGTAGAAGCACCATGCTGACTTTAGTTCTCTTATTTGGATGTTAATTTTGTGCTTAAAGGCATTAGACTATGTCACATTTGTCCAAATAACTTCTTTCACATATGTTTTGTAACTGACTCAGCCAAGTAATTCTCTGTTATCTACTGAAAAAATGTGTTTCCAGCATATATAAGTTGCTGAGGTTTTCTTGTTTAGGTTTTGAAGATAGAGCTCTTTGTTCTTATCTTAATATCTATGCTAATAATTTCATATTTTTGTGCATGGTATGTCATCTATTGTTGAAGATATTTTCTTGTCTCACTAGTTTATCCATTCACTGAAAACTATATGTTATGCTCGAAGCATAAACTCCTTTCCATGCTCTGCAGTGGTGATCTCATGAAGTTTAAACTTACTAATTTCAAACTGCATATATAAACTCAATCTTTTTTGTCTCATATAATGCAAAAGAAAAGTTCTATGCAGATGCCACAGTTTTGGTTTTGGGTTCTTCTTTCAGGCGTCAAGGGTGCGATGAAGGAATACAGTACATAATGTTTTCTTTAGAATATAGCTCCATATGCTTAGCATGTGCTACCTTTAACTAGGATTCGATAGTTTTTATCCTATCTTCTAATGGCTGGTTATCTGTCCATCTTTAATCTGTACTACTCTGAATTCTGCATGTTCAGCATCATGATTGGGGAACCTCCTATCAGTTCTTGGTTGATCTCATTATTGTCCTAGAAATTCCCTTCTCCAACCAAGGTGTTCTCCGATATCAACAAACATTGTAGAAGGGCCTTTCACTTTCATTATTGTACTTTTGTCTCTATTGTAGTGTTATCTTCAATCTTTTATTTTTGAAAATTTATTTTTAATGAAATATGGGAAAAGATTGATCCACCGAAACTATATAATAGTAAGGAAAAAGGAAAACAAAGTAAATAAAGAATAAGAAAGCCCACAAAGAATTGGGGTTGTGGGGGGAGGGAGGGGACAGACCAAAGAACAGAAAATGGGAGAAAAAAACTCAAAGAGGAAACGACCAACCACTTCGGACAACTGAATCCCTAAGTGCTGCAAGCCAGTCGTTTATCAGTTGAGAAGCAGCAGTGGACAACAAATTCAAGTGTTTTGACTTATCCTAGGAAGCAAGTTCTTTTCAAGTTAGAGTCTGACAAATAGCATCTACAGACATAAGAAAAATCTTTACTATCAGAATCAATGCCCTTAGCCCATTAAATCAAACCATGAAATAGATAACCAACCTGGAATCTTTTACAGGAAACAACAATCCATAACACCTTGGCCATTGAGCGTTTAAAGACGACACCAAATACAAAAAAAACTGATTAGTTCACGCAAGTTTTCTTTTTTCTTCTCTCTCTCTCTCTTTTTTTTTTGATCATTTATTTTAAGTATACAATGTCTTAGCATTTTTAAGCTTTCTTGCCAAACTTGCATAATTAATCGTGCTTGTTCTAAAAGGCTTACAATCATCAGTGTTCAGATGTTAACAAAGCTCATTCTATAATTGCCTTGGAAATATAACTATAGCCAAGGTTAAAGGTGAGGATTTGCTGTTGCTTCTTGGAAACTTTCTTCATCATCAGTTTCCTCTTTGCTCTAGCCCTGTACTTCAAGCTACTCCATTATGCATGTCCTTACCTTGTTAAGTAATTGTACATTCTATCGATAGCTTTATTCCCTTAGCCGTCATACCACATGCTACTCTTAAGTCCATAAAAACCGTGTAACATCATATGTCGGTGATCCTTCTCGGCATGTATCAATCTGATGTTCAGATGCTTGTTCAATAAAATAGAGATAAAATTATGATGAGAAAGTTCATTATGGCTGATGCGTTAGGGTTTTTAAAATATTATGAAGGCATCAGGGCTCAACCTTGATCCTTTTTGACCGAGTGCAGATATCCTTCTTTGTTTATATGACAGGTTTATAATTCAAACCTTTCTGTGTTTAGACAAAATTATGACGAAAAGTTCATTTTGACTGATGCATTAAGGTTTTTAAAATATTACGAAGGCATCAGGGCTCAACCTTGTTTCTCTTTGACTGAGATCAGATATCCTTCTTTGTCTATATGTATGGTACAAGTTGATAATTTAACCCTTTCTGAGTTTTGTTATCCTAGAAGATGAGCTTGAAAACCTTGTAATGGCGTTTTGTCATTTAGGTATGCAATTACTTTCGAAGTTTACTTCAAGTTAAACCGTGTTTCTCTACTTTGTCTTTGTTCTATGGTCATCTATTAACATTTTTATATGCCAAAAAATTTTATCAAAATAATCGGGGAAAGAACAAATAAGTAAACAATATTGCATCATATCTGTCAACAAACTTTGGGCAATCCAATTAGTTGTTTTTTAGATATAACCATTTAGGTTATAATCCTATCTCTTAAATTAGGAACATCTTTTTGAGTGTTAAATGGATGGTGTACAATTCCTGCAACATGGTTTGCACGGCTAATTCCAATCTACACACTCACTTTTTTCAAATTGATCTTTCCGATTGTGATGATTTTGAAATTTATTTGGCGATTCATCCACTTATTGACTGGTCAAGTTAGACCTGGTTTATATAACAGATCTCAAGCAGATACCAATCCTGATGAATTTCCAGCTGATTTAGCTGACCGTTGTCAATTTCAATCCTATTTTCAAATCTTCTTGCCGATCTGGCTGATCACAAATCGAAACAATGGTCCTCATCTGCACCATACAATAGATCTGGACCTATTCCTGAACCTAAATTCTAGACTGATTCCAACTGATCTTGATCTTGAGAACCTTGGTATCAAATTATTCATGGATCCTTTTAATACATAGGTATGGTTTATATTTCTATTCACGTTCTGGCTGATCACAAATCCAAACAATGGTCGGCATCTGCACCATCTAAGAGATCTTGACCTATCCTGAACCTAAATTCTAGACTGATTCTAACTGATCTTGATCTTGAGAACCTTGGTATCAAATTATTCATGGATCCTTTTAATACGTTGGTATGGTCGATATTTCTATTGATTGGAAAAAGGCTTGATGACCATTCTTGATATTCGCACATTTCATGATTAAAAACCTTAAAGTTTCTGTTATTGAATTTTGTACAGAAACTATTTTCTTGGCAACTTTTTTTTTTTTGCTAATAAGTTCCAGTTCTCTTTTTCAGGGAAAGAGATAAAGATAAAGATGGGAAGCTTAATTTTCAAGAGTTTTTTAATGGCTTATTTGACTTAATCAGGAGAGATGATATTTATAACCTTACACATGTATCTGATGCTTCAACAGAGGCACCAGCTAAAAAGCTATTCTCGCAGCTTGACCACAACAACGATGGGTACATGCATTGGTATTTGTTTTTACTTTTGTAAATTGAAAATGGAATTTATTCGGAAAAATTTTGATTTTCTTTACAGATACTTGTCTGAAGATGAGTTGATACCTGTAATTGGTGATCTACACCCATCGGAGCATTACTATGCTAAGCAACAGGCTGACTATGTTACTTCAGAGGTATCTGCTGATGACTTCTTAGATAATGTTACTGGTCACAGCGTGCCAAGATATCTTCTTCAATCCAAATGCCAGTGATTGACTTTGATAAATCCATGTAGAAATTTTCCTAGGCATGAACACGAAACTTTTCTTTGAGAAGAGAAGAAAAATTAAAATTTTCTTTTCCAGTACCCAGTCTTAAACTGCTGGATGTAATTTTAGGATTATAGTAAAATCAATATCTCATTTTCTACATTCCATGTTTCAACTCTCCTCAATTATGTCTGCCTATTATCTCAATGAGCTTTGGGGACAGAAAAAAAGGACTCGAGTTTGGTGTCATGGTCCTGGTGTGATAAACATATAGCACAGTTTAATTGTTTTTTTCTTTCGGTACTTGTCATGGCGTGGAAGGTGGAATAGAGAAGTTTAGAACTTTGTTCACAATTTCTCGGGTAATGTGTAGGTTATGGCATGATTAAGTGCAAAATCTTAAACAATTGTGCCATTGAGACATTGAAGAGTGCCTGTACAATTTCTTGAAACGTATTTTCTGGAAATTATACATTCACTAGTAAGCTTTTCCTGTTTGAATGGTAGACTTATATGTTGTTCACATAATGCTGGAATATTCATATTGAGGCTGAAGTGAATTCTTACCTAGTAATTCTTGGCAAATCTGCAGGCAGACACGGATAAAGATGGACGCTTAAATTTGAAAGAGATGATTGAAAATCCATATGTATTCTATAGTGCTATCATTCCCGAGGAAGATGATTATAACTATCATGATGAGTTCCGTTAGTTATCCAACTAATTCATTCGAGACACTGATGTATATGATAGTAGATTCCTGTGAATTTGTGCTGTTTGATCACCCGGTCTTTTCTCTTTGTTTTTTAGCGTCGGAGTAGCAACATAAGGATTGTATTTGTCTTTCTTTCTTAACCCGGCCGTGTATCATTGATCGACAAAATCGTCCTTTGGATTTTTATCAAATAACACCCCATAATAAAATTTTCCTTGGGGTAATTTTTCTTTTATCAATTTGATAAAAATATCTTTCATCGTTCGCCTCTGATGCTGTGAGACAAATAGGAAACAATATTTTTCACTTGATGTCAGCCAGTTTTGAGTTCCAAATTCTTGAAATTCTCAAGTGTTTTGATGGCTCGAGTGGATGGAAATACATCAGTTTGAAGGGGTCAGAGGTGGTTGTTTACATGTTTATCTCATCTGACATAATACTGCCTTTCACCATCCAATCACATCATCTGCCTGTGACAAACCATTCATATTAGCTTTGGTTTCCCAATGAAAGGGGTGTGTTGTTGGGCTTTCACTAACATTTTGATTTGGACTTGCTAACATCTTTGGAAAGACGCAACATAGAAAAATTAAGAACGGAGAAAATTACGCTTTAATTTTCTTTCTCCCATCGCATCATCATTGTCTTTCTCTTCCTCTTGCGTTTCAAGTATCTTAAAGCACTTTAATAAAAACTACTAAATCATCCGACGACGACATGATAGACGACCTGAGTTTAGATACTAAATAATTGGTGTGATCATAAATTATTCCACTTGAAAACGGTCTACACTACAGCACAATTGGGTCAAAATTAGTATCGATCTAATCTAATCTAATTTTGAATGGTAACAATTAAAATTTAAATAAAAAAACATGAATTTTATAGGCAGAATTTATGGAATTGGAAATGTGAACAATTAAGACAGACATCGACCAAGTTTTAGATTTAAATCATAGGATTGACCAAAACTAAAAATCATGTGAATTTTTCAGTGGATACTATCGATCTAAAATTTATTGAGAAATTATTCTTTAAAAGATCAACTTGAGGGTTTGGAACCCGACACACCATCGATTGTCACATCTTTGCTTATTCATCGGAATAATTCGACTAGTGAGGAGCAGCAAATCTTTTCGAGTCACAATTCTCTTTAATGACCCAAAAAAGATGATACTGACTTAATTTCGATTTGACTGTTGCCACTCAAGCAAGAAACTAAAGGTTTAAGGAGTAAATTGGAAGTGGAAGTGATTACAGGAAGGAGACAGTGTTTACATCAATGATTGGCCAGAAACCAATGGATTAATGGAGTAAATTGGATACAGTGTTTACATCAAATTATTGCCTTGGGATGATGATTTACCATCCCATCACAAACGTTGATTGAGCGCGACTTCCAACCGTCTAGAGTTGTTGCGATACCTACTTCCCTCGCCGAGTAAATGTCGATGACATAAATATGACGTCATTTATGACACGAGGTTCACGTTGACATGTAAATATAAAGAATGGCGATGTGATGGATCCATTAGAACGTTTTAGAGACCCAAACCCATTCTTAGTTTGCCTGCACGCACGTCTGTACCTGTCGTCCCGCTGGAGCCCGCCAGCTGTGGTGGGTTCCGCTCCTCGCGGCCATGCAGCTCCAATCCCAAGGGCGGTGGGAGAAATGGGTGACCGGGAAATTAGTACCCGCACGCGACCAGAGACCGGACCCACCAAGTCGCGGGTCTACGGGTGGGTCCCGTGACTGGGGCCTGCTACCGGTAGCCCGACAAGGAGCCAGAGTCAAAGGGACCACCGCGTGGTACAGGTCAAACCGTGGCGGACCGCCGATCCGACGACAGAGATCTCATCAAGCGGCACCTCGACATGAGACAAATCCCCGTGGAGGGCTTTTCGGTCAATTAACAAAGAAAACTGTCGGTACGCTAACCCGCGGTTAAGCTCACCGGGCCACCGGTAGAGGATAACTTGGATTTAGCGAGGGCGTCGTCGGTGGGCTAACCGGGGTTAACAAACAGCACGGGGAAGTCGAGAAAGGGAAGATTGGTATTTAAGCCGAGACCATCGGAGGAAAGACGCAGCTCCTCGAGGGAGAGGACTGAGGAGAAGACAGCGGGGCGGGGGCGGGGGTTGGTGATGGGAGAATCGAGCGCGTCGGTCTCGCTGGATGTGGAGCGGATCTCGTTTGGAGGAAAGGTTAGGGTTTCTCAATTTGTGGAGTCTTTTAGTGTGTTATCTCTTGCCTTTTTATCGTAGTTTTCTATCGTGTGCAATCTTGGATCTAGTGTTGTCGCCACCATTATTCCATCTGTTTTGTCCAAAGTTATATCTTGATATGAGCGATAGGTCTCATTATTTATAGGATTTTTTTGCTTCATTTTACTTGTATACGTGATCTTTGTTCTATTAATTGGATTCTCGAGGAGTTTGTGTCTTGTACATAATGAATGGTTGATCGAGAGACTACGGAATGGTTATTGTTTCTTGTTATCTAGGCATCCGATTTGGAAATGTGAAGTGCTCCTTTAACTATATATTTTTATATATGTATTTGATTCTTTTTTCCCGACTTGGTGACTGATTGTTTTCCTAGGAATTTATTCTTTTACCTATGTTCTTTTAATGATAATCCTTTTTATCATTTTTTTGGGTATTTGTTCCATTGGATTCAAATATTTTTCATATTTCGTATAGGCTGAATCGAAAGATAATTCTTCTTTGGAAAATATTTTGTTGAATCGCTTCTTTAACTACATAGGCGAGGATCATTGGTGCATCCTTTTAGGTAAAATCTACCTTTTGTCGGAACTGTAGTGTATTAGTAATATCGACAAAGATGTCGATTTTGTGGAGTGGCTTCCAGGGCTTTTTTTTTTTTGTTGATTTCAATGAATTAAGCTCCTATTTGATGTTACTGATCCTTTTGTTTTTAGATTATGTTGCTTGTTTGTGGATAGAAGTTTCAACAGTTTATTAATTTGGCGTTTGAAAAGTGAAATATTGCAACTCATACATCTATTAGATTTCCCTTATGTTCTGTAAGCTAAAAGTGCACGCAGATAACATAAACCTAGTTTGAACTCATAAAAATAGTTGCTATAGCCAAATTCTTTTTCTTATAAAAAATTCTGCACGTTTAAACCACTCATTGTAGGGTATTAAACAAATCTTGTTGTCACTGGTATGTTGATAAACTACACCTAGTCCGCTCTGGTGCTCAAAACTTCAAAAGTAACCTTGAGAATGTAACTTATGGTGGTTCTTCCAATGCATATTATCTCTTGTATACATCATCTAAAGGTTCTTCTTGATGTTGTGCCAAATTACATGCCTTGTCAGATTTTATGTCTAGAATAGACCTTTCTTTCATCTTCACCTGGTTAACTTTGCCATTCTAATTTGTTAAGTGATTAAATTTTTGTATATTATCTATATTGCCAGGAACATCATGTTTTAACAAGCCATGGTCCCATATCAGTTGCCGTGTATGGGGATCTCGAGAAGCCTGGACTTATTACTTACCCAGATGTTGCTTTAAATTGTAAGTTTGATGTCAAGGCAATGATTAAGAATTGTTTTCTCTTTCCTTACATATTCCCGTTATTTGTTACTCTGGTTACTTGGTTCATGAACTAAAATGTATAATTGAATAAGCCTGTAAGCATTGTTCTATGTTTTGATACTACTATTAGCGTTCACTGGGATAACTCTATTATCCTTTCCTTTCTGGTGGTTATTAGTGTCAAGTGCCCGTTCATGCAAGATCCTTTTCTCTCCATTGATTTGTTTATTTGGTCAACATTATTGCTTTTGTTTTTTTAACTGGCATGCTGATCACTACTCAAAACTGCTTACACTGTATTTACACTAGTCACATGACTATCATGCCCTGGATGGTGTATGCAACCACGTTCTTGTCTGTAGCTGTATTTAGTTTATCATATTCATTTACATGAGTTCCAAAGTACAATACATATTAAATTATGAAAATAATCTGTAGTTTCTTTATATTAAATTTCTGGAAAGCCAGAAACTTCTGCACCTAACATGTTGCGCCTTTTGATTGGTTTAGATATGTCCTGCTTTCAAGGATTATTCTTTTGTCCTGAAGCTGCTTCTTTGCTTCTTCACAATTTCTGCATCTACCATATCAGTCCTCCAGGACATGAGGTCCATTTTCTCTTTGTATCTCTGAAATCAAATTCTTTTAGACAGTTATTCATATTTATGTTAACATGATTTTGTTGGTCTGTTTCTTTAAGCGTCTTGCAGTTAGGTGCTGCTCCAATTTCTCCAAATGATCCAGTTCTCTCTGTTGATCAATTAGCAGATCAAGTGGCAGATGTTCTTGATTTCTTTGAGTAATATCATATGACTTTTTTCAATTATGTTTTCTGATTGTAGCATCCTCAAACATAGTGCTCTGTCAGGATGCAATTGGTTATTAGTGTTTTTAGTGTCTTGAAACGTCACAGTTTACAGGTTGGGTCCCGTAATGTGCTTGGGGGTCACAGCAGGTGCTTACGTACTCACTCTGTTTGCTGTAAGTTCCTCTCCAATTATACACCTTTCAATTTCTGGTTTCTGAATCTTCACTAAGTTTATGCATCTTGTTTATCTTGGTTATAGACAAAATATAGGGAACGCGTTCTAGGTTTGATACTTGTATCACCCCTTTGTAAAGCTCCCTCATGGACAGAATGGTTGTATAGTAAGGTATCATTTTTGTATTCTTACAAAGTTATGTTTGCAAACTTAATAATTTATGTTTCTTCTAAGAAGTGCTTCTAAATTCTCAGGTGATGTTAAATTTTCTTTATTTTTATGGAATTTGTGGCTTGATTAAGGAATCCTTACTTCATCGATATTTCAGTAAGGTACGCCAGCCCTCTCTCATGCTTTGAATGTGTATGCTGTATATATTTGATATTTCAGTTTTTTCTTTTTTTCTCTTGTTGGCAGGGAGTACGAGGAAGTTCACAGGTTCCTGAATCAGATATTGTGCAAGCATGTAGAAGTGTTAGTGTTCTGAACCTCTTTGTTTCTCTGTGTTGCACTTGGGAAGATTGTTTAAGCTATTCTGCTATACTTATGTTTTTCTCCATTATTGTGCTTTTTTTACCTTCTGTAGTTGTTGGATCAAAGGCATGGTGTAAACGTGTGGCGATTTCTTCAGTCAATAAATGAGTAAGTTTGTATTACTTTATTAGTTGTTATTCTACTAAAGCAA